GGCTTTCATTTACCAAATGATCTTAAATATACAAATGAACATACACAAATTTAACATGATTAATGAGGTAAAACAAATAAAATCTGTAATAGTAAGGGGAGGAAATATAAAAAACTAGAGGATAGTTATATGGTTTATCAATTCTACACTGCCCCCTGTATTTATCATCCCTTCCATGTGGCCCTTCTGAGAGGGACTGTCCAATTATCTCACAGGTGGGTTTTTGGTCTTCCTCCACATCAATTGGTTGCTTGTTCTTGAACTGATCCCTTTCCCGTTTACACCTCATGATCACACAGGGTGGTGTGCTTCTTCCATGAGGGCTTTGTTGCTTCCCTGCTAGATGATTGCTTTTTTAACTACAAGCCTTTAAGGACCCAGATGTTACATCTTTTAATAGCCAGGTACCTCTGGCCATCAAGGTGGCTCTAACTCCCGGTGACTCAGTATCTGTCAGAGTAGAACTGTTCGATTGGGTTTTCAGGTCTGCATGTTGATCTTTCTGAATTACAACTCCAGATCTTTCTACTAAGGAACCTCAAGGTAGACTCAGATCTCCAATTTTTTGGTTAGCAGCCAAGGGTCCTAGCTATTTGCACCAACCATGGACTCTATAATACTATTCTAATGGTTTTAATTGAAAATGTGTCTACCAAAACAATTTCATTGCATTTTAGCTATGTGTCACTTAAGAGGTGGAAGAAAATAGGTATTTGATTTAAATAGACCTCTCACAAAGCCTACTCCCCTTTCCTGTTTCCCGTCTCGTGGATTTTATTTTTAGTACGAAACCAGGGACACTGAGAGCCAATGTGTGACAGTCCTTCACAAGGGCTTCTCAGCGAGTGTGCAGACCATCTATTGGGACGAACACTCACTCCCTGCCAGCAGCTGGGTTTCTGCAGAACTGAAAGACCCACCAGGTAATGTAACCTCTAAAGGTTCCGTTTTCTCTTTTGGGCATTGCTGATACAAGACATCAAAACCAATTTCTTTTTCTGTTCACTAGTTAATATCAAGTATGATTCCATCATATCAGTATCTTAACTGTTTTTATTTATCTTGTGCTGCTATAACTGAAATAACACCAGTAGGTGACTCTCAACATTAAGGAGGCTAGATGTCTAAATTCAGGGTGTGGGCTATAGGGGAAGGCTTTCTCTCTGGGCTGGTTCTAGAAGAATTTGTTCCTCAGTGAGCTCCATATGGCATGGAATCTTTGTTGAGAATATAAACCACAAAACCAATTCAACAGTTCCTATTCGGACCATTTAGTGACATTTATTACATCCTTCAAGTTGTGCAACTATTCTTTTTTTTTTTAATCTAAAATGGTTATTTTATTTTATTTTTTTAAACATTTTATTAGGGGCTCATACAACTGTTATCCCAATCCATACACACATCAATTGTGTAAAGCGC